TGTTGAGTATATTATATAGTACATGATAAAGACTGAGCATTTGGACAAAATTGCCATTTTTTACATTTAAAATAAAATCTACAACACGGTAGAGTGTTAAAGTCATGACGACAGAATACTTTCTAAAGCAAATGTACACTCAGAAAGTTCAGTTGGAGTAGCAGAGAAGTTTAACTGAAACAGCAAACATGGCTGGAAAGCGAAAGGGATGTTGAGCTAATGTTCATACTGTGGAAGTGTAATGTGATGTGACCATACCTATACTTATGATCTTTCTATTTTTTCTCTCTGCAGTGGAACTTTCCTCTCTTGATGATGGCCTGGAAAATCGGCCCTGCCCTAGCAACTGGTAACACTGTGGTGATGAAGACTGCAGAGCAGACACCACTCACAGCGCTCTATGTAGCTAGCCTGATCAAAGAGGTACTTGGTGTCAGCAAGTCCTTGTAGCTCCGTAGATACATTTCTTTGATTTCCCCAAGGAGATGAAAAAAGTATCCATCCATCTCTTATCAAATGTTATCTAATGTAATCCTTCCATCCATCCTTCCTTAATAATATTGTGCAAATATTTTGGTATAATTTAACAACCCTCCTCAAAACACTGTCTTCAAACGTAGTTAAAATGCTGATACAAGGTTCTTCTAAGTATTTGTCTTTTAATATCCCAAATAACTTCAGAGCTTGAGCTGTTTTGCAGAGAAGAAGGAAGAAATATTAAACTTCTGATATGAACAGTCCTGATAAAATGTACCCTCCAGTTCATAACATGTGACAGCCTTCAGTTTTGACATGTTTTCATTTAACTGTAGAAGTTTGTGGCCTTGTACATAAGAGCATTAGACTGTATATGAATTGACATTCATAGTGTCCTCTTGGATGAACTTTTTTGTTATTGACAAAGATGTATCCATTGTCATGAAGATGACACTTTATACACACTTCATGCACTTGCTTTGTTTTCTAGGTGGGCTTTCCTGAAGGTGTTGTCAATATCCTGTCTGGTTTGGGGCCGACAGCTGGGGCTGCCATCGCAAAACACATGGATGTTGACAAGGTGGCCTTTACTGGATCCACAGAGGTAGGAGGACTCTGTTTTGTTGCTTTTAGTTACGGTGGGTAGGACAGTAACATGCTGTATAGAACATTAAAAATAAATGAAAAGATGGGAGATACATTTGTGGCCACAAAGAGGCAGAAAACTTGAAAGTGATGATGATGGTAGCCACGTTTTATTGATTTCATCTCAGAATGTTTTGATTGCAAACAGACTCTGATGCTGGGCAGTATGTCGCTCTAAAACACTGATAATCTTTCATTGTGATCGGTACAGATTCAAGGAAACCTGCAGCAAACGCAGAAACGTTTCCTCATGACACAGCTGGATCTAGTACGCTTCACATGGAGGATGGTGTACTTTTCTTTAACAGCTTTATGTTTTCACAAAGTTCTGTCCGATCAGTTTGGCTGATGACCTCTTGCAGCATGTGACACTTGAAATAAGCAGCAGCACGTTTTTTTTTCTAACAATAACTATTCCATCTATGAAACAATGTCATCTGAAGACGTCATCATCTCTTCCTTTCCCTGTCGTTGTCCATCAGGTCGGTCATCTAATCCAGCAGGCTTCAGGCAGCACTAACCTAAAGAAAGTCACCCTGGAGCTGGGAGGAAAGAGCCCCAATATCATCCTGTCTGATGCTAACAGTATGTAATCCGTGTGTGTTCATCTGTAAAGCCTGTATACTGAGTGTTTGTAGTATTATTTTATTTATTTATTTGATCAGGGACCATGCATTTTTACATAGAAAACGTCTGATGTATTGCAGAGTGTACAGCATTAAGCTCATTGTCAACTCCCGTCCCTGGTTGGACTTTTCAGTAAAAATAGACAAAGGACCAACAACACCAATAAAAACAGCACAGACAACATTAGAAACTTATTATCCCCCACCCACACACACACGGCACAATCCACAGTCAGTCGGACCTTATACGTATCATAGGTGGGTACATTCTTGTTTTTCTATGTTTGAACATACTCCACAGTCCTGTGCAGCGCTTTTAGGACTCTGAAGGTGTTGAGATTTTTACGAGGTGTGTGAGAAAACTTCCGCCTTCCAAGTAACCCCCCTGGAGGCTAACACACTTTCCCAGCC